ATATAATAAATATATTTTATATAATTAATTTATATAAAAATAATAAAATTTGATTTCAATTTAATCAATTGATTAATTAAAATTATTTACGTAATAATGACACTAAACTAAAAGTTAACTTTTTTCATTTTTTATATTAATGCTATATTTATTGCATCTTTGATATGTGTTTTTAGGAGTACATATTAGATAAAAAATTTATTTAATATAATTATTTTTGTAATAAAAAGAATATAATTATAATATCATATATCATTGTAAAGTTACAATCTTGACATATCATTAAATAATTGATTCTTTTCATTTTTTGGATTAAATAAAGAAAAATGAATTTGAATTTCATGTATTTAAAAATATATTATTTAAATACACTACAATATTGTGTATTTAAAATTGAATTTCATGTTAAATTAAATCCTATCTACTTTATTTAAATTGAATTTCTATTTCATTAATAAAAGAATTATATATTTTTTATTTTCAAATATTCAAACATTATTTAAATTCTCTCAAAATTAAAAACTAAATATATTTTAGAAAAAAGAAATATTAATCTCTTTATGAAGAAGAACACAATAGATTGATATAGGAAAGGCCTTTCAAAAAAAAAAAAAGATTGATATAGGAAAGGTTAAAATCTTAATTTTAAGTATTTGTAATAAAATTCTTGAATTTAATAAAAATTATAAAGTAAAAAAAAATAAAATTTAAGGAAAACTTAAAAAATCAATTCATGAAAACAAACCAAAAATAAATATACTTTTTTTTTTTAATTTTGTAGATAGATTATCCAACTGCAACCAATGAATCTTGCCCCAAGATTTTGTTGAGGATGCATTTTATTTTGATGAAATACAAAAATTCAAAATTGAAATTTATGGGTTAAAAAATATATTTAAAGTATATGTAATTTTAACTCCAAAATACATGGTGTCAAATATATATATTGGAACTAAATTTAAATACATTACATTTAAATAAAAACAAACTATTTATTTAAATTTGTAGTTTCAAATTTAAATACATTTTAACTAAATTTAGGTTTCGGAACAAATCATAAAAGATTATTTACGTGAATCTTTTAATCCTTCATGGAAAGTTGATTAAAATTAAAAATTAAAAATAATTACAAAAATATAAATCTACATATTAACCCTTAAATCATTAATATTTTTTCAAACTCTTCTTCGGTTCTTCTTCCTTTCCCTCTTCCCTCACTTACTCGCAGAACCTTCTTCCCCGTTCTCTACCCTTCCTTCTCAGTCAAACATTTCTCTTTTGACTGCATAAGCTAATTGAAAAGTCCTGGGAGGCGTTTTTTCTCTTCTTCCTTGATATTGATTCATTACTGTCTGAGTTGTAAGCAATAACACGCTTATACAGTCAAAAACAAGGTTAGAGATCCAAGAGAAGAGTGGGGTTGGCTTAGCTTGTGTTCTTAGTCGTCTTTTGGGGGGCTGCTTGCACCGTCAAACAAGTAGTAACATGTAATTGGCCTCTCTGTGTCTTTCCTTGAAATTATTCCAAATTCTAATTTTTGTATTTTTCTTTATCAACATGCATTACGGCTTCAATCCCTCTCCATTAATCAACCTCATTCTCTGCTCAACGAATTGATTCTCTTTCCATAACACCTTAGGTTAAACAGAAGAAAAGAAACACAGAACCCTC